GCGTGTTAGAACGAGCCGTTTTAGGTAGGTGTGGCTGACTCTGAACTTTTATAAAGAATATCTCTTTGGATTTGAGACTTTAGTCTTTGCAACTTTACAGATCTTCTTTATGCTCCAAGAGCTTGTACCACTCCAAAGAGAAAGGAACAATTGAAATCGCATCATATGACTCCTTTAACCTTTAACATGTCGATAGTCATAAGTATTATCGCAATAACGGGACAATGCGCTTTTTGCTTAAGGTTGTAAAAAATGTATTAGGAAGTAACCTTTTATATTGCTTCCATGTCAATTGGAAATAAGTAATCTAATCAACATAGTGGTGCAGGTCATAGCTGTAAAAGAAAATGGGGTCAGAGATCATCAGTCAAGGTCAGAAATCTACAGTGCATTAATGAACTGCCTCCAAACAAAGGTTCCACTCAAAAGTAACAAACTAATACTTTATGAAAAAAATACTTTAAATTGCTTAATAATGCATTATGATTTTGTTAAGGAGACCTCTGTGTGCTTGACCCATGGAAATTTCCATGAGACTGAGACCAAAATATATTGCGTCAAGTATCTGGAGTCTACACAGAAATCTAGACCTCTGAGACTGACTCTTGAGAAACGTTCCAGTCTGTATGCATATCTAACCCCCAACACCCCTGCACTGCCATGCAGTGACATATCCTGTTTTGTGTTCGGACCACTGCCAGGAACAGTATTCCTATCGTAGGTTGATTTTTGGCCATGTACTACTTAAGATTCTTTCACTTACGTGGCCTTCCAGCATGTTGATTTTTCATCACATCCCCTTATGAGCTATTGCATTTCCAAATCACTTTATTTAGCCTGCACAGATGATGAGATCAACCCTCCCATCTCAGGGTCAGCATGGTTGACATCTGAGGTTGAACCTATTCAGTTTGTACAGAGGGGACAGAGGGAGCCAGCCAATGGCACATGGGGAGATCGATATTACCAGACAGCTGAACTAGCAACATTTGAAAATGTTAAATGTCAGAGGCAGATTCGTTTGTGATGAGGAGGGTGGGGGTGGACAGAGGGAATATTATGATTAATATGTCTTATTCGCTTGATCAGCCTGATTCAAAAACATGAGGAAAATAGCTTCTGACCAAAACAAACAGGGTTGAATTGCTGTCTAAAATGGTTCCAAACCTATCCGGAAGAAATCCCCAGGGTCTATATCTGTGGCATGACTATTAATGGATCTGCTATGTCTAATAGCAGTTTTACCTTTTTGCTTTTATTTGTGAACTAAAGCAATCAGTCTTTTGGAACTTTTTGCTAATTATTTTTCAAAAGACATAACTATCTGACATAAACTTTTTTCACCAACTCACCTTAAATTTGCAGAATTTTTGTAAACATCAGG